ATACGCGTACCCGGACCAGTGTCAAAAGAAAGTCATGTGATCTAGTGAAAGGTGTTTGTAGTGCCTCTACTGGCAATTCAAAAAGTGCTAGGGAGTCCCTGGACTGTCAAGCTGACCGCTGCAGCCCAAGAGTCAAGGGGTAGGGACTCTACGTCACGAATACCAGGGGCACGTTTGAGATGTAAAAACCCAATGTATGATCATTTCAATGCGCCTTGGCTGGTATCTAAAGAGCCATGGGCTCCGTCGAGAGATTCAAGAATAGAACTAGCCTTATGTGTGATCACCTCAATCGTGAATTTGCGGAACGACGGGACGATCGTCATTTCCCGACTCACTAGTCTACTATCGCAATACGGTCTGTGGAGACTCCTGCAGCAGATCACCACTTGCATTTTATCTTGCGATGCGAATTGAGGCATTAAAAGCGCGCTAGGTGTGTTCAATTTCACATGCTGTAAGTGGACACTGAAAGAAAGACTACGTGGTCACATTGCGGCACAGAGTGCGTCCAACGCTGGAGCCTTCACGAAACACCACTGAAGCTTCAGCAGAACGATATCTATCGTTCAAAGAATTGCAGATGCTCATCGTATATTTGACCATCTCATGTGGTATCCAGCCGAACCGCAATGACTGCGAGGGGAGATGTATAGAAATAGCAAGCTACCAACTGTTTCGCATGATTGTTTATATGTGAAGACGCAAAAGGCGCACAAAGGCCTTCTCAGAAACAACTACGAAGATGAAGACAAGGCTTTAGCGATGCAAGGATACAAGCACATTTTCAATCAGCAAAACGATTTCTATACATGCTTAAACCACGCGTTTTCACCGTATCCCTTCACTTCCGCTCCAGACTACATACCATCACTAGAAACCTCATTCACATTCTCCTCCTTGCCCCAACTATCTCCCATGTTCTGCTCAGTGACCTCATCCTCGACTACGTCTTGCTCTTCCTTCTCTAGATACGGCGGCGGCGCCAACTCCTCCCTCTCTCTATCTTCACCATCCTCTCTCTCAACCCAAACCCTATTCAACTCGGCCTCGATCTCCTCTCTCCTCTTCTTCCAGCCCTCAACCTTAGCCAAACGCTCCCTAAGCTCCGCTAGTTCCTTTTCGACGCTCGACTTCTCAGACTGTGTGCCAATACGCTGGAACTCCCATTCGTCGCCATGTTCCCCCATGCCAAGGGTGAGAGTGAAGGTATGGTAGCGCTTTAAGCTGGCACGTGTAGATATAGTGATGAGAGCTAGAGTGGAGAGTCAATAAACCAAGTGTAGAGGTTTGAAAAGAAGAACAAGTCGGGTTAACTTACTGATTCCCTTTGCCTTTGCGCGTTCATACAGTAGACCCTCGACATCGCTGCTAACAGCACTTGTGCCCTCGTCGATAAAGGCGTAGCGCGGTTCGTGATATAACAACCTGGCAATACCCATGCGCTGCTTCTCACCACCGCTAAAAACATCTTTCCATACTTTCTTAGTGTCCCAGCCACCTTCGCGATCGGGCAAGTAGCCCAGCTTGGCTTCTTCTAGGATCTGGGAGAGCTCAAAGTCACGGCGTCCGACATCTTTCATGTCGGCGTCAGTGTGTGGGTAGATGACTTGGTCACGGAGTGTGCCAGTGGACAAGTATGGCCGTTGAGGTAAGAACATGATGCCGTCTACGCCGATAGTACGTGGGCGGCTGACGAGACCGCGATATGCAGGCCACAAGCCGGCGACGATACGCGCGACAGCGCTCTTACCGCAACCATTGGGGCCGGTGATGAGAAGATGTTCGCCAGAGTGCACAATGAAAGAGAGCGATTCGAGTAACTCTTCCCCTCCTCTTGGATGCAAAGCTGGCGCAACAATGGGCACGTGTTCAAGGCGAATGCCATCAAAGCCTTTGTGTACCGTACCTTGGATGTCCGAGACTGAGTAAAGCTCTGGGCGTGTGCCTGGAAGGGGATAGTATGCGTCAGCGTGGACGCGATGAAGCGTGCTAATGAGTGTGTAAACGCGCGAGGTATAACCTGCGAGTTCAGACAAATCCTTGATGCTGTACATCATTCGACCACCGGCATCTGCGAGCGACAGCATAAGTCGCTTATTCGTGATAAAATCCTTCATGCGACTTCGCTCGCGTTCTGTACGCTCACTCCCCGGGACCTCTGGCGCACTGCCCAGGCCGCCCCAGGCTGGCAAGAAGACTGGGAGAGATGTGATTAGGTACCCAAAGGCCGACCAAGAATATTTCAGCACAAAATCTTCAAGCATATTGTATCTGATTTTTAGGCTGTAGATGCCCTCCATCCAGTGCTTGAGGTCCTTGAAGCCACGCTCGAGAAAATGCTTTTCCATTTCGTCACCGCCATAGAAGGCGACTTCCTCTGCATTTGCGATGAGTCTCGAATGGAGACCCCGGAACTCGCCTTCTCTTCGTCCTTCTACTGCTTTGAGTTTACCAAAGGGTGGTGAGAGTTTTCTCAAAACTGTCGCTGTCAAGAAGTAGTTGCTCAACAGACCCGTCAGGGCTAGTGGCCCTAGAGACTTGTAGAGTTGATAATTGAAGACGCAAAGATCAACAAACGGCTTGCCCAAGCTGGAATACAGTGATGCAGCACTGGCACAGAACAGGGTCAAATCTTGCGTAATGTACTGATCGGCGAGTCCTACGCCTCCGTCCAGATTTTGTAGCTTGTAGTAGTTGAGATGGTCGTTCAGATAAAGATCGTGAATATACCTCGTAAGCCGGGTCCGGAAAGCAATGGACACCTTGCTCTGCAGGAACTTTATCATGGCGTTGGTATAAGATGAAAAGGTTCCAACGCCCAGCCACTTGACAATGCCCCAAAGAAATGCCTTGCCGTTGCCTGCAACAAGGTCTCGCACAATCTCGCCATCGAGCCGGGCTACAACCAAGGAAAGGTATGTTCGTAGCATGAGGAATACGCTATGGCTGACTAATAGACCCGTCTCCTTGCTATTCCATCTTGGTATCATGATATTCAGCAAGCTGAGGAACTGATGCAGAAACGCAAGGTTCAGGCCAGGCTTGGTCTGTGGAGGCGGTGCTTGTGGGTCGTTTGGATGCGTGTCGGCCATACGCGCTGCGCGTGGAGGCTGGAGAAACAGCCTGCGATGGGCATCAAAGGTCGTCTGCTTAGTGGGATATATGACGACTTTAGACGTCGAGTCGCGATTGGGCACATAGATTGTCCTGGAGCCATCTTTGTTCTTCATCCCCGAATTGCGCCTCAAAAGCCGCCGGCCAGTCTCCTTCTCCGCGCGTCGGCTTTTGTATAGTCGCTGGCCTCCATAGCCAGCGCCTATGATGGTGAAGAGGAGGGTAATGGTCGACAATAGCTTGGTAAGCTTGGATGCATCCTGAACGCGAGACTTGAGAAGCGTGGCATAGTGGTCGTAGAGTGCTAAGAGCGGGTCATGAGGTTTCCGTAAAGTAGATTGTGCGGCCATGGTTGGCCGTGAACATCCTTTCCAGGACGGTTCGCACGTCGTGGAGTGGGAAGATCGCGTCGGGTGGTTGAAGGTGGTGTACCTTGCATGTGCGTGCCATGATGCCTGCGTTTGAGCCGAGGCATGTGAACGTGCCACGTGCGCTGGGGAAATCCGGGGTGATGGGGCCGCAACCAATCGTCCAGCGGCTTAATCACAATTGAGCTGTGCAGTTACGAAGCGATGGATTGTAATAGTACAACAACAAAAAGAGAGCTCTAATTGAGCAACGAAGGAGCCCTAATATCACCAAAGCCTTTGTACACCTTTCTAGGCAAATTGTTTCTAAGATTCAGAACAAACAACCACGCATATCCTAAATCGATCCTTCAGAATTTGGTAGTTCAGAAGAAGAATTTGTTTAACATACATATATTTTGGTAAAGCTCTATAAGTGGAATAAAACTATATCGGACTCTAAAGTTACTATGTTAAACTGAATAAACGAAGTGTCTATTACCGAGAAGAATCACCGAGATGTAGAGTTTTGTCCTAAAACTGTGCGTTAAGTATTATTAATAATTACAAAAAATCTCTTAGGCTGTTCTAAGCAGTACTATATATATTAATACATTGCTTCTAGTAGGGTACATTAGGTATAGTAGGCTTAGTAGATTGCTAGAGAGATAGAAACGATAGTCTAGTAATGATTTGTATTAATTAGGGGGCCTAGCGTGTTACGTTGGTATTGCACGTGAGATAGGTCCCGTGAGGCTTGAGCTTAGCTTCGGCTTCGGAAGTGGGGGAACGCCATGTGTGCATATGCTATGCCTAAGATAGATTTTAGTGAGCTTGCTGCCAACAACACCGTTCATCAAGCGCAAAGCAATATCAGATCTTAGCACGTAAGGGGGCACTTTTCTAGTTAGTTTGTGGGTACGAAAGAGTGGGGTTTCAGCTGAATAAAACGAATTAATATTTGGAAGCCACATACACGGCGAAAGATATCTAGCGAGCGCCTCTTAGAAATACAGTAGTACTAACTACACGCTTCGCGCTACCGACGCTATGTTAGCAAGGCTAACATTTTGATCGTCAGTAGGGGTTTCGAACCTGTAATGATAGCTTCAAAATTCTTTAAGTCTCTAAGTTCGAAAGAGTTAGGTTTATATCTGATTGACTATTTCGAAGACCCGAGCCACCCTTGACCGCCCGCATCGTTGGCAGTGCCTACATGTTCTAGCGAGACTTTATCACTTCTACGCTTAACCTAATTTGAATTCAATAAACACTCCCACATCGCTATAATTGGTAATGTCTTGTGTACCCTAGGAGATCCGATGATAAGTTTACCCAAATGGCTAGTGCGCAAGGTTGGGCGTGGCACTCTTGACGATTACAGGGTTAGCTCTTCGTATTCGTTGTGGAAATGCAGGGCCACCATAAGCCCAGTGGCGCGTAGCTGAACATCATCCATGTCCTAATTAGGAACAGCACCTTCAATGAATCCGATATAAACTCACTGTGGAATCAACTTGAACGATCATTACATAGCACACTCACACTCCTTCTTTTAATTAATTTACCTTTCCACCTGGACAGCTCTCGGTTCACTATACTCAAAATGAAGTCCTTTACTATCTTGACTGCTCTCCTCTCTCTTGCGGTAGCCGCTCCCACAGATTCTTCCTTGGTTCTTCGTGGAGACAAAGCTTGCCCTGCTATCCAGCGCATCGCTCCCACTGGCCAACTTCCTCCTAAGGCACTTAGCCCGACCTTCCTCCAAGTAGTCTCCAAGAAAAACCCCAACAAAGCCGTTCCGGCCGGACAAAAGGCCGAGGTCACCCCTGGTGACAAGTGCACTCTGACTAGGTTTGACATTCCCGCCTGGGCCAAGAACAACACATGCAGCCTTGTTCTCATGCTCGGCGGATGCGGCTCCAAGCAATCGGAGAAAGGGCCCGGCAACATCATCTTCCAAGGCAACACCGGTGTTTCTTTCCCTATCCCTGGCCAAACCACCTTCAACAACCAGCCGGTACTAGCTCCTCCCTTTAAGGATGCTCCTCAGATCAAACTCGGCAATGCCTACCGTCTTGGTGGTGGCCCATGCGACTACAAAGAGGGCCAGGCTTTTGCTAGCGTTGGTGGAAGCATTTGCAGTGACGACACGACCTTGAAGTTTACTCAGGATAACGGAGGCAATGGAGAGTGCCCTGTTGGGTTTCACATTATTATCTCTTGAACATGTTTCCTAATGTTTAAAGTTATCAGCAGGGAGAGAAGAGTGTCAATCAGGTTAGCAGTTGTACTGCCGCTTTTAGGGTGTTTACATAGGTAGCCATGTAAGAGTTAAATTTTGACCTCCTGGCTTCGCTTTGTTTATTGCCGCCTTCAGCGCACTCTTCTTATAACTATTTTACAAGGCTTGTGTGAGCCTTTTTCGTTAAGAACAATTCCTCGTACCTCGAGAGGTCTCTGAGAAAGAAGATTCGAAGAAGGAAAAGCCCTGTTTTCGGATAGGGATCTTCGAGAGTTTGTAGTATCTTCATCACACGGTGTTCTTCGATCGCCTCTTACGTATAGAGTTTAATACCATGCGCTGCAAGTGTTCTTTTCACTCTAGCGACGGTGACACTTTGCGCCGTGCTCAGAAACCTGACTTTCGTCAGCGTGTAGTGCCAACGTGAGAATTATAAAATGATTCCCTAACCCTAAGTAAGTTCTATCTTAAATTATTAGCTATTACTTTTAGGGCGCGAGAGGCTTTATCCTATATACAGATGAGCTAACTGTAAGAGGCCATGCAATATATACATAGTATGTACTTATATGGTCTATTTCTAGTTATTGGCAATAGGTTTCAACTTAGTTAGCTCTACCCCTACTAGTATCAATCCAATCTATTTCTCTAAATACTAACCACTAACGCTACACTACGCTAATTCGGCCGTAAGCTATCCTCAAATATATGCTGTAGTTAAAATAAAATAGTAGATAAACGAAAGATAAACTATTATAGTGCTATACAAGATCGTAAGCTATAAAGACATTGTAGCGCGATTTACCTATTGTGATGGGCTACGCCCTTTGAGCGGCGCTGCGATACGTGCGCGCGCCAATATCGAGTATATATATCCAGCTATCAAGATAACAAGACAAGCTTATTACCTTGTGCAAACCTTCTGGTCGCAAGGGCGGCGTGAGTAGCTGCGCACTAGGCCGGGTCCGGCCCACCCATTATAGTAAGCCCTACTATAAGAAGAATAAAAATAGTAAGAAAAAAATTAGCTATTACGCATGTAGTAAGAAAAGCTACATAGTATATAACTACTAAAGTAAAAATAAAGTTAAACGATAGCTTTACGTCCTATGCTAGAAATTGAAATTAGATAACAACGAGTTATAGAACGTTATTACCTAACTAGACATTAGATACTACTTAGATAATATAGAAGTTATCAGTAGACTAGATAAGCTAACCCTAACTACGTTTTAGGATATATCTAAAGCTAAACTAGTTAGTAAGAAGAAATATAAGACTCTAGAGAAAGAACGACTTCTTACGTTTAGATATAAAAAGATAGCACGATTCTAAGAGGAAAATAGACTATGTATACTCTACGTAAAAAGGCAAGAGAGCGTAATACTAGAATTACCTAAGACCTAATAAAGGAACCTAGTAGAAGTAGAAAAGTAGATTAACACACTATCTATACTGTAACGGCGCAGGCAAGACTACTCGGATCAGTATCGGCGGTAGTGTCACTCAGAGGCATATGGGAGTGCGTGGGACATCAAACGAGCCTTAATTCGAATAGACACCTATAGGCCTTGTACGAAAGGATATCAAAAATCTATCGAGCTACGGTATGGAGAAGGTGGGGTTTTATATCAGCAGATCTGCCCTCGGCTAGTGCGTGCCCATGTTCGGATCCCTTTCGGATGTTAGTTCAGTGTGTACTCGAACCGTTACACTACCCCCCCCTCTATTGACAGCTAGTCCCGTAGCTGTTGAAAAATTTTCAATGTTTGTTTGTTTGTCTGTTTGCTTGATGTCGTCATCCTTCTATGCAGGGTCTCGGCCAGGCCCCGAACAGCCTCCGGGCCAAGGAGAATCCACTCAGCACGTGATATTAAATCCGTTTGCTCACTGAGTATATTAACAGCACGCGTCCATACTTGCTGTCACCAAAACACCAAAAAATTCTACTCCTCCCAC